TGCGCTCGAACACCCAGTTCCCTCAGAAGAGACAAGAGTGATGTTGGCTGTTTGTCGCTGTTTCCAATTAAACGGCCTGGCTGGACGACCCCCCTCCAGGCAGGCCCCTGGATCAAGGCGGCATCCCTGACTCGGGTTTTTTGAGACCGAAATACCAGACTGAACTGGCGAACCCGTTGGTTGCCTAGCTCTTGGTTTCGTTTCTCCCAGCTTCATGGATTTAACGTTCCAGGAACCAACAGTCATTTTATTTATTTATTTTATTTTATTTTTTATTTTTTTTAAATGTAGGAGTACTGCTATTTATTCAGCCACTGATTAGCTGATTGAATCAACAGTCATTTTAGAAAGTGTTTTTTTTCTTTTCCCCCTCCCTGATTGACCCGTTTTGATTGAGTGTTTTAGCAACGCTCTTTTTTTTTTTGTCATCGGACCTAGCCATCTAAGTGGCTGTCTTGCAGGAACCTAGAATCTTGTCCCCTGACGCCTGCTGCTATGAAATGGCAAAGAAATTTTCAGGACAAGGCTGAGGCTAAGAGATCTGCCCCTCCTCCAACATTCTTCCATTCATGCAACCTCTGGGCTCCCCAGAGCACTCAAATGACGTCCCTTTCACCTCTAACGTTCCTTCAGATAACCTGGACCAGCTTGGTCAGTTCTCAGGCAGACGGTACAGAACTGGGAAAAACAGTTGCTAAATTATCTGGGCCGTTTCCCTGATTTAAAACAGGAAGCTTTCTCCTACCCCCAGTCCCAAACAGTTCACAGTTCCTTTCCTTAAAAGGACCTCCCTCCCCAACGCCCCCATATTCAAAATTCAGTCAAGACTTTATTCTTTCAGAGTTAGCCCTAATTTTCCACCTTATTCAAGAAATCTATGCTCACGTTTACAGTAAAAGTGAAAAGTGTAGGTCTGACACCTTTAAAGAATAGTTTGCTTCAAGTCATTGAAAAGGGAAAACTTCGTGTGATGGGGGGATGGGGGGTGGGAGGGATACTGGGATCCGTGGTGGTGGGAAATGGGCACTGGTGGACGGATGGGTACTTGATCATTGTATAATTGAAACCCAAGCACAAAAATTTGTAAGTCTGCAACTGTACCTCATGATGTCTCACTAATAAAAATTAAAAATAAATAAATAAATAAAATGTTGCCTGATAAATTAAAAAAAAAAGGGAAAACTTCAAACACTGTATTGTTTAAGTGAAAGGAGTTGGATAAACCAGACTTTTCAATTTATCTGTGGATATCTGAGGCCAAAAGGTAGACATTAATTTAAAAATCTCACATCTAGGACAGTGAAGAGTGAAAATTCACATGCCCATATATGTAAATAATTACGGAGCAAGGTAAAAAAAATCTCAATAGTCTCAGAATTAAAAAAAAAACTAAGCCAGAGTTAAGGTCCAGGGTTTGTCATATTAAAGAAGAGGACAGAAATCTTATTTAAAAAGAGAGTTTGCCCAACCAGAAACAAAGGAATAAAAAAAGAAATAAATTCCGGAGCAGGTCAGTAAAATACGAGGAGATAAAATACAAAACAAGAGTTTCAGGCCATTCTGCAGACATCTTTGTGTAGCTGCTGATTCAATTTAGAGTTCTTTTTTAGTTGAACTATTACCTACCAAAACCATCTCCCCCACCCCAAACTAAAGAAATTCACCATGAATTATTTCTGCTGGGGGAAAAAAAAAAAAAGGAAAGTGATATAGTTAAATGATTTAAGGCCTGAAAAATCACCAAAGACAAGGAATGAGACTGGTCTTTCTCAGGGGACGTTTGTTTGAAAGGGCAAAGTAGTCTCAAATCAAAACGATTATAAATAAATAAATATATCACCCCTCTCATCTGAGAAAGCCTACTGCAGCGACAGTCAGTTTTATTGACTAATCCCTTAAGCCAATATTACTGTGACGTGTCTTTTATGACGCCAAAGAGAGCTACTTAAACAGTATAAAGACACCGAGGGCATAAAATTCAGATGATTTTTCTGATTTTTGAATGAGATCATAAGCAACCTAAGTAATAAAATCCTAAAGTCTGAGTGACCGAATCCAGCCATGTCCTAGAATAGGTTCTAAAATGATCATTTTTCCAGAGCAGAAGTGGTTTTGCTGAACCGAACTCATTGATTCATTCATTGAATTTTGTAAAATTCAGTAAATTTAGTTCAATTTAGTAAAAACTTTTTCGGGTCTTAAAAATGACAGAATTTGATTTACGAACGAGAGCGAGATCTTTCTCAAATTAAGTCGAGCGCGATGGTGTGTTTTCTTGGGCTGACGGCAGCTGAGACAAAATAATCTTGGTTCAAGGCCAAGTCTCATAGACAGAAGCATCGATCCCGTGGATACCGTTGGAAAAAATCTTGCCTAGAAACCTCCGGATTCCATACCAAATAATTTCCCCCTTTTCTAATTACGTTTCAGAAAGCATTTGGACAGTGAACTGTCACAGAGCAGTTCCAGAGATTGAAACAGCGCCCCTATTTAAGTAATTATCGCTAATACAGACACAAACGCCAGAAGCAGCCTAGAGCCTCATGTTCTGTGGGACCGAAACATGTTTAACTTCTTACTAAGGCAAGGAATTTCTTTCTGTGTCAATCCGGGAGAGCAGCAAAATCGTTGCTAAAGTTTTTTGTTTTTTTTTGTTTTCCCTAAAAATCTATTTCTATTCGTGTTTGGAAAATAGAATTTTTGTCTATTTCTAAACCGTGTAAAGTTCACCACAGAAAACGAGGTCTCATGTTTCACAGAATGCTGTGTCTGAATCCTGACCCTCCATTTTTTTTCCTGCTTTTTGGGTCCCACCCGGCGATGCTCGGGGGTTCCTCCTGGCTCTGCACTCAGGAATCACTCCTGGCAGTGCTCGGGGGACCCTATGGGATACCGGGAATAGAACCCGGGTCAGCCATGTGCAGTACTGCTGTGCTACCATGGCAATTGGATTTCACAAATGAAGCAAAATATGAAAAAGAGGGCATGTATTGTACATTACAGTTAGGAATATTCTACCTTGAGACATTTGGCGGCTTTCATAAGCATGGTTTGTTGCATAACGCACATATCTAAACATACAAGGCCAACGCACACGTGTGCGCGCGGGGCTGCAGAACGGAAGATAGTTCTCCACGTGGGTTGTGGGGAAAAACACACATTACTTAAGGATGTGACGCTATCTTCCTCATTAGGCGTTAGAAGCTCTGCAGAAATACAGATCCTGGTTCATATTCTGATCACCCTTCCAACCTCTGTGATCTCATTACTTCTTAGGAGAGCCTTGATTTTCTTTTTCTTTTCTTTTCTTTTTTTTTTTTTTCCTTTTTGGGTCATACCCGGGGATGCACAGGGCTGATTCCTGGCTCTGCACTCAGGAATCACTCCTGGCGGTGCTCGGGGGACCCTATGGGATGCTGGGAATCGAACCCGGGTCGGCCGCGTGCAAGGCCAACGCCCTTCCCACTGTGCTATCACTCTAGCCCCGAATCTTGACTTCGTTACCAAGAAGATGGGCATATTTCTTGGCGTGCAGATTAAAACAAGGTGAATGCATTTTTTAAAAGGCTATATCTAATAGATATAAGGAATGGCTGATGCCTATAAAATGGGATAAAAATAGCTTATCATAAGTGACAATGAAAACATATAATTGTCAATATTGCATTTACCTCTCTTTTATTTTTGGGCAGTTCTCAGGGCTTATTCCTGACTCTGTGCTCCAGAATCACTCCTGGTGGGGTTTGGGTGAACCATTTGGGGTGCTGGGGACTGGGTGAACCATTTGGGGTGCTGGGGACTGAACGCAGGTCGGCTGCACACAAGGCCAACGCCCTCGCCGCTGTACTACTGCTCTGGCCCTTCATCCTTGCTTTAAAAGACCATAAACACATCCTCCACACCAGACAATGCTTTATGTTAATGAAAAGCAGAATTTCAGAAAAGGAAGTCAAATCGCCATATAAAGGAAAAATAAATACGGGCAATATACGAACGCACATATTCTTAGAACTTGCCCTGTGGAATTTCAACAGTCAACCTCAATATAACACCTCTAGGAATAACCTGAAAGGGGAAAACTGTTTTTACTTTCTGGCACGATTTAAAAAAATCGACATCACCTAATCACCTATAATTGGGCACCTTATTATAATTGTAGAACAATACTAACCTGTCATAATTTCCCTCATTCAATATTTCATTCGGATACCGTCAAAGGAGGGGAAATCTTCAAAGCATCAGCGTTTGTAAATAAAGATACTTGAATACGCGTTAAAAATATTATGTCTTGTATTCTCACCTTATACGTTATCTTTTACTGATTTTGGAAAGCAGGGAGAACTTTGGGTTCAACCTTGGCAGATGAGACAGCCCTTATTTCCAAGGGAATGCAAAACCAGATTTCCATTTCTTTCTCTTTTTTTAGCTTTTTGGGGTCCCACCCAGCGATGCTCAGGGCTGACTCCTGGCTCTGCACTCAGGAATCACTCCTGGTGGTGCTTGGGGGACCCTATGGGATGCTGGGAATCGAACCCGGGTTGGCCACGTGCAACGCAAACACCCTCCAGGCTGTGCTATCGCTCTGGCCCCAGATTTCCATTTCTTTGCAAAGAAAATGTGACTTCATAAGCTCACTTGAAATCAAACAAGCATGAACTTAAAAATATTGAAGATTCCCCACGCCCCTGCCTCAACCCCATCACTTGAATGAGAACTGAAGAGAGAAAAAGGGAAGTGGAGTGAGGAGAAGGTTAGCTTTTCTCAAACAAGGAAGATACTGGGTTTTTTTGTTTGGTTTGGTTTGGTTTTGGCTTTTGGGGTCACACCCAGTGATGCTCAGGGGTTACTCCTGGCTCTGTGCTCAGGAATCATCCTGACGGTATTTGGCATTTGGGGTGCCAGGGATAAAACCTGGGTTGGTTGTGTCCAAAGTCAGTGCCCTCCCCGCTGTGCTATGGCTCCGGCCCCCAGGGAGATGCTTCTGGAAAGACTGCATGTACCTGCCGGGAAAAGGGTGCTGGCTGACTCCGTCTCCGTTCTGGAGGTGATAGTCGTTGAAGAAATCTGGACTGACGGCCCCTTCGGAGGCGATGAGTCCATCTAGACAGGAGGTGAAGATAGGGTAGACACGCTTTTAGGACAGGGAAAGCCACCATGAGCACCCCAGCGAAAAACAGCGTGCATGTTTAATTGGAGGGGAAAGGGGTTAGGGTTGCCCACTCCCTCGGAGAATCTGGGTCACGACCCACCCAAGGCATGTTTATTGAGCATCTACTATGTGCAGGTTCTATTCTAGTGTAGGGATGAGGAGCTGAAGGATGTCTAAATGAGCAGTGTTTTAGACTTTCAATGCCAAGCCTTAAACCACACACACACACACACACACACACACACACACACACACACACACGTGTGAGCAAGAGAGAGAGAGAGAGAGAGAGAAGAGAGAGAGAGCTCTGTGGGGAGGGGACTTGTCTTGAGTAGGGCCAACTAGGTTTGATTCCCGGCGTCTCGCTGGGTCCCTCAAGTATCCCCCAGAGAGACCCCTGAGCTCAAGCCTGGAGTAAGCCCTGAGCATCATCAGGCGTGGTTCCAAAATCGAACACAACTACACACCCACTAAAATAATCCATAAACTGAAAACATCTAGATGGTTTGATATGAGCTAGATATTTATTTAGTTATTATTCATTTAGTCTTTGGGCCACACCTGGTGATGCTCAGGGGTTCCTCCTGGCTCTGCACTCAGGAAAAACTCCTGGCGCTGCTTGGGGGACCCTATGGGATGCTGGGGATCGAACCCGGGTCAGCTGCGTACCAGGCCAATGCCCTCCCCGCTGTACTATCGCTCCAGCCTTGAGAGCTACAAATTCAAACTCAAAGCAACACGATCTCCACTTTTAAGTGTCTCCTGTATCATCAGGCTGTAGGAAAAAATATTTACGGTAATATTTTATCCCACAAATGCTTGCATTTGTTTTATTTTCTATGTGTTGTGGCTATTCTTTAATTTTGAAATATAAAAACCCAATTGAGTTTTATATGTAAGTTTTATACGATGAACAACAGGATGACAGTGATCCAGTGATACTTTAAGTATGAAATCGATGGGAAAATGACTATAGTTTTAACGTTAAGAAGTCAATTTCGAGGACTTAATTCTGGAAACACGGCAGAGCTCTGCAGAAGTCTGTTCTGGAAATTCTAATTGTATTTAAAACAATAAAACTGAAAACGGAGGTAGATTAGAAGTTTTATTTGGTTATGGAAATCGGTAATTGATTCCCACCGAACAGTAGTAGTAGCAATCTTCAAAGCAAGAAATCTGATTCTAAGAAATTCTGATTTCTATTTATAAGGAAACTCTTAATGTATATTTTACATCATGAATTTTGTTTCACAAATATCAGAAAATGCACGGGACAGCTGCTTGCTATTACTAAACTAAGCAATTCTGGCTGGTTGGAATTAATGAGTGGCCCCATCTGGATTTAAACCCAAACCAGTAGTTCTAACTACTGTAACGTTCAGTTGGGAAGAAATCTATTTAACTTTCAAAGCAAAGTATCAATTTTCTAGGATTCAAGAATCTAAGTCAAATGGAAGACGTGTAATTTTATGGGTAAATTGCATAATAAACGAGTATAAAAACATCTGAATGAATACAACCTAGGGTAAAAAAGGAGAAACCATTCATTCAGATATAATTACTGGAATACTTTTCCCCAACCTGCTACTGATCTCTTGTTCTAAGACCCGGGTTCGATTCCTCCGTCCCTCTCGGAGCTACGGAGAGAACCCCGCCCGTACAGCAGAGCCTGGCAAGCTCCCCGTGGCGTATTCGATATGCCAAAAACAGTAACAAGTCTCACAATGGAGACGTTACTGGTGCCCGCTTGAGCAAATCGATGAACAGTGCTCTATAAATATTAATATCCTTTAACATTCCTGAGCACCTGCTATAAATCTTAAGAGGTTTTTTTCCTTCCTCTCATCAACTAAGTGACTTCAAGGAAGCAACATTAATAGCATAATATTGGCAATAGTATAATATTGTCAGAATATGCAAAACCTTACTGACTTCTTATCAAACTTATGCCCAGAAAAAAGACAATCGGTCACAAATCAGCATTAGTTGGTAAGATTTACACAAACATCAAACTGGAAAACACAGCAAGAGTTTGGAAGGAAAAGGAGAGAGAGAGAACAAAAGGGAATGCCCTGCCACAGAGGCAGGGTGGGATGGGGGGATGGGGGGTGGGAGGGATACTGGGACCCGTGGTGGTGGGAAATGGGCACTGGTGGAGGGATGGGTACTTGATCACTGTATAACTGAAACCCAAGCACAAAAAGTTGTAAGTCTACAACTGTACCTCATGGTGTTTCTCTACTAAAAAAAAAAAATAATAAAGTATAACATTTTTAAAAAAAAAAAAGTTTGGAAGGAGGGCTGGAGTGACAGCACAGCGGGTAGGGCACGTGCCTTGCATGTGGCCAACCCGGCTTTGATCCCTAGCATCCCCGAGGGTCCCCCAAGCACCACCAGGAGTGATTCCTGGGTGCAGAGCCAGAAGTAACCCTTGTGCATCGTCGGGTGTAACCCAAAAAGCAAAAGGAAAAAAAAAAGAATTTGGAAGGAAAATGCCATTTCTACCCAATTTCTACCAGTCTTCCTAACTGAATAAAGACACCAAAAGGCCACACATTAGTGAGCTATGGTCACAAAAATTTAGAGAAAAATTCATATATTCTCCAGTAGAATTAAAAAATTCTCGAAGATGTCTAACTTATATTCTAGAAAGGAATCAAGTTCTGAGATGCGATTCATCTTCCAGGCAAGGGCCTTTTTTTTTTCTTTTTTTGCTTTTATGGGTCACACCCAGCGATGCACAGGGGTTACTCCTGGCTCATGCACTCAGGAATTACTCCTGGCAGTGCTCGGGGGTCCCTATGGGATGCTAGGAATTGAACCCAGGTCGGCCACGTGCAAGACAGACGCCCTATCCTCTGTGCTATGGCTCCAGCCCCAGGCAAGGGCCTTTTACAGGGAGATGAGATCAAAGACTAGAGAGGAAAGTAATCACTAAGTTTGCTTATTGTGTAATGATGGGTGCTGGGTTTTCTATCAGAGTGTGTGACGTGGTACTAGGCATTCTATCAAACCATGTGACGTGGCACTGGGAGTTCTATCAAACTGTGTGACGTGGCACTGGGCATTCTATCAAACTGTGTGACGTGGCACTGGGCATTCTATCAAAGTGTGTGACATGGCACTGGACGTTCTATCAGAGTGTGTGATGTGGCTGTTGGGTGTACTATCAGAGTGTGTGACGTGGCACTGGGAGTTCTATCAAACTGTGTGACGTGGCACCAGGCGTTCTATCAAAGTGTGTGACGTGGCACCGGGCATTCTACCAAAGTGTGTGACATGGCACTGGACGTTCTATCAGAGTGTGTGATGTGGCTGTTGGGTGTTCTATCAGAGTGTGTGACGTGGCACCGGGAGTTCTATCAAACTGTGTGACATGGCACTGGGAGTTCTATCAAACTGTGTGACATGGCACCGGGAGTTCTATCAAACTGTGTGGCGTGGCAACGGGCGTTCTATCAAACTGTGTGACGTGGCACCGGGCGTTCTATCAAACTGTGTGACGTGGCACCGGGCGTTCTATCAAACTGTGTGATGTGACTGTTGGGTGTTCTATCAGAGTGTGTGACGTGGCACTGGGTGTTATCAGAGTGCCATCCGGGTACCCGAGGAAGCGTTTACGAGCCATGGGTGTCTGCGAGGCCAGCCCAGCACCCCAGTGACAGCCCCGCCCGGTCACCTGAGCTGTAGAAGAGGTCCGGCCTCTCAAGGATGTCGCCCTCGTGGATGTAGGGCTCGATGCGGTCGTCGCCGTACAGGTACTGCTCGTTCTCGTCCATCTGGCGGGACTCCACCATCTCCAGCCACTGGGAGTTGTGCCAGCGAAACTTCTCGCTCTGGATCTTCTTGGCCCACTCCTCGTCGTATTCCTGGGGCGACCAAGCAGCCACAGTCAGCGCGTTCGCGTAGGGAAGCAGTCCCTGGGCTCAGGGACGGGAGCTGCAGGTCACGGCGCCTCTTACCCCGGGACAGGCACCGTGAGAGCGTTTGTTCCAGCCACCGGAACGGTTTGCACGGGCAATGCCAGAGCAGAATGTAACTGAATTTTGGTTTCAGCTGAGGCGATATAAGAATAAGCCTGACCTTTTAGAAATATAATTATATTTATTATTCTTGTTATCCTGTGAAATTTTTTACATTCCAATTGGAAGCTTCCATTATCAATCTCTTAGTGTCAGCTGTCAGACTGGATATTCTGTTTTTTGTTTTGTGGGGTTTTTTTTTGCCTTTTTGGGTCATACCCAGTGATGCACAGGGGTTACTCCTGGTTCTGCACTCAGGAATTACTCCTGGTGGGGTTCAGGCGACCATATGGGATCCTGGGGATCGAACCTGGGTTGGCCGCATGCAAGGCAAATGCCCTAGCCGCTGTGCTATCACTGTTTTTTCTGTGGATATTCTGTTTATATGTCAATGAAACTGCTTGAAGTTCCTTTCCAACTGAGGTTGGTAGAAGTAGAATATATTTATGTATATATATAGATGCATATCTAAATATTTATGTTCACAAATATGTATATATACACACATACACTTTTTTTTTTTTTGCTTTTTGGGTCACACCTGGTAATACTCAGGGGTTACTCCTGGCTCTCAGGGGACCCTATGGGATGCCAGGGATTGAACTCAGGTCAGTTGCACACAAGGCAAATGCCCTACCCACTGTACTATACGTCTGGCCCCTAGGAAAAATATTTTGGCATGGTAAGCTAATGACAATTTGCCACCAAATTATTAGTCTTACCTTCTAATAATTATTGATAGTCCTATTATCTGCTATTTTAATATTATTTAACATTATCAAACAGCTAGCATGAACTTTAAAATTCAGTCATCAAGAAGAGCTATCATAAACCTGATTACATTCCACTTAGAAATATCACAAATGTATTCATTTGACTGTTACAGTTTCACTATGTAAATCACTGAAGAACTTTTTAACAGTAAAACAGTGTAACAGCAAAACCCAAATCCAGACCCGATATTGTGTTCAGATGGTTACTACACAATTTATGTTACTGTATAATCTACTCATATATTACTGTGTAAATTATTGTATATCTATTTATCTGTTACTCTACAAATCTATGTATTTATAATCATTGATCAGACATCAATCGTTCTGTTAAAATGAAAATACAATATAAAAATATATATAGTAGAAGAGTAATTTCCACGGCCAGGGAAAACAGGGACTAGGAGGACTGGTCAGTGGTTGGAATCAACCACAAGTGTGTGGGGGGCGGAGGGTGGGTCAATAGAGAAGGGACCAGGATGACAGTAATAGCTGGGAAGGGTCACGTTGGACAGGATCTGAGGGTTCAAAGTAGGTAAAGGGATATTCCTGATAACCTTTCAGTATCTGTATTGCAAACCATAATGCAGAGAGAGAGAGAGAGAGAGAGAGAGAGAGAATCATTTGCCATGAGACAGGCAGGGGGTGGGGGATGGGGGGATGGGAGGGAACCTGGGGATTCTGGTGCTGGGAAATTTGCCCTGATGGAAGGACGGGTGTTGGAACTCTATCTGACTGAAACCCAACGGTGAACAGCTTTGTAAGGGTCTATCTCACTGTGGAGTTGGACTGAGTACAGCGTTTGCCTTGCATGCGGCCAACCTGGCTGACCCGAGTTCGATTCCTCCGTCCCTCTCGGAGAGCCTGGCAAGCTACCGAGAGTATCTCGCCCGCACGGCAGAGCCTGGCAAGCCCCCCGTGATGTATTCGAGATGCCAAACACAGTAGCAACAAAGTCTCCAATGGAGACGTTACTGGGCCCGCTCGAGCAAATCGATGAACAACGGGAGGACAGTGACAGCGACAGTGACAATATTAAAATAGCAGGTAATATGAATGCTAATCGATAATTATGAGAAAGAAGGTAAGACTAATAACTAGGTGGCAAATTATTCAAAAATTGTGTTTTCAATTTTAGAATCGTGAGTAAATCTTAGATGTGTTTTAGTTTAGAAATGGCGCATTTGAGGAAAAGAAGAAAAGTTCTGATGTCGAGATATGTCGTGAACCTGTGAAATTAGCCCACACGCTACTTAGGGTGCCGGGGACCCATTTTTGCCTTGGTAAATGCCAAGAGGATGGCACCTAGTCAGCGACTTATACTCCGGCCAGGAAACCGGAATGGCTCGATTGATGTCTTTTCCATATAGGTTTCCTGAATGCTGGATTTCTCATTTTTTCCTAACTAATTGAATCACAGTGAGATCACTGTCACTGTCACTGTCCTCCCGTTGTTCATCAGGGCCCAGTAACGTCTCCATTGTGAGACTTGTTGCTACTGTGTTTGGCATCTCGAATACGTCACGGGGAGCTTGCCAGGTTTTACTGTGCAGGCGAGATACTCTCGGTAGCTTGCAGGCTCTCTGAGAGGGGCAGAGGAATAGAACCCGGGTCAGCCAGGTTGGCCGCATGCAAGGCAAACGCTGCACTCGCTCCAACTCCACAGTGAGATAGACCCTTACAAAGCTGTTGGCTTTGTTGGCTGCGTGCAAGGCAAACGCCCTACCGCTGTGCTATCGCTAATTTAACATTAAGTTATCAAATAGCTATCATGAACTTTAAAATTCAGTTATCAAAAACAGCTATTGTGAACCTGATTACATTTCCCTTAGAAACATCACAAATGGGGGCTGGAGTGATAGCACAGTGGGTAGGGCATTTGCTTTGCACGTGGCTGACCCGGGTTTGATTCCCAGCATCTCATACAATCCCCTGAGCACCGCCAGGAGTAATTCCTGAGTGCAGAGCCAGGAGGAACCCCTGAGCATCGCCAGGTGTGACCCAAAAAGAAAAAAAAAACAAAAACAAAAACCCCATTAAAAAAAAAAAAGAAATATCTCAAATGTATTCATTCGACTGTTACAATTTCAGTATTTAAATGTCTGAAGAACATTAGCTATACAGTGAAACAGCAAAACCCAAATCTAGATACTATATAATCAAAAGAACCGAAATTAAAAAAAAAATCATGCCATAAATCTAGGCAGATAGTCCTACTAACCGGAAGAACCCTGGCAGGTGCTTCCTTTCAAGAGCAAAATAGTGACTCTAAAATTAGACTCTTGGGGCCGGAGCGATAGCACAGCAGGGAGGGTGTTTTCCCTGCACGCGTCCGACCCAGGTTCGATCCCCGGCATCCCACAGGGTCCCCTGAGCACCGCCAGGAGTGATTCCTGAGTGCAGAGTTGGAAGTCAGCCCTGAGTATCATCGGGTGTGACCCACCCCCTCGCCCCAAGAAAGCCAAAAAAACCCCAAAAATCAAAAAACAGGCGTTTGAGACTCAGGTTCGTCTTGTATTTAAGGGAAACCATGTTTTTGTTTCTTAACTTCCTTCCCTGTTTTCGGCTCGACATCATTATCTTAAACACTCAGTTCTTGCACACAGTTCCAAAGACTCCGGATAGCTTGATTTCCTGTGGAATGCACCACCTCCCCCCAACCCTCCTCTCTTTTTTTGAAGTGCTCATTCGGTTCTGTTTATTACTCAACCCCCGGAACGCGGTGGAGCCTGGGCCGGCCCCGGGCCTGTTCACTGTCAGGGCGACTGTCCCGGGCCCCTGTCACACCTTGGGGCCGACGGGCGCAGGGCCGGGGCAGAGAGCCATGTCCCAGCCGCCTGATGGAAAGCAGACTTCCCCTCCGCCTTTAATGTGGCAGCCGCCTAATTGAGGCTGTAAGATGGTTTATTTAATGCAGTGCTTCATCCTAAACGTACGCAGGGCTGCTGTCGTTTAGCTGCTCATTAAAAGGTCCAGGTAGCAGCAGCTAAGGAAGACGTCTGGCTAGGCATGAAGGGACGGGCCGTTTCTCCATGGAACCTCCCTCCCCTCGACACCCCCCGCTTCCTTTTTTGTCTTTTTTTTTAAACCAATTTTATTATTTATTTATTTTTGCTTTTTGGGTCATACCCGATGATGCACAGGGATTACTCCTGGCTCTGCACTCAGGAATCACTCCTGGCGGTGCTCGGGAGACCCTATGGGAGGCTGGGGATCGAACCCAGGTCAGCCTGTGCAAAGCAGAAGCCCTCCCTGCTGTGCTATCACTTGACCCTGTTTTTCTTTTTTCTTTTTGCTTTTTGGGTCACACCCAGCAATACTCAGGGCTGACTTCTGCCTCTGCACTCAGGAATCACTCCTGGTGGTGCTTGGGGGACCCTATGGGATGCTGGGGATCGAACCCGGGTCCGACGCGTGCAAGGCAAATGCCCTGCCCGCTGTGCTATCACTCCAGCCCCGCCCCCTTTTGGTCTTAACTTTGGTTTCCAACCAAATCTCCAAGTACAACAAGCTCTGAGCCCCCGTTGAAAGCCTTCGGGCGGGAGATGCATGCGTTCAATAGCACTTCTGTTACCTTCAGGGAGATCCCAGAGTAAAAGATAAAACTGAATGAAATTTGGGCCGGAGAGATAGTGGTACAGTGGGGAGGATGCTTACTGGCATGTGACTGATCTGGGTTCGATCCCCGGCATCCCACATGGTCCCCTGAGCCCCACCAGGAGTGATCCCTGGGCGCAGAGCCAGGAGTGATGCCTGAGCACTGCCAGGTGTGGCCCCCAAACCGAAAAAAAAAAAAACCAGCAAAAAGTAAAATGTAATTTAATGATGCAAGATATCCTGGCCCAGGGCTATACTGGGCCACATCCTATGTGCTCCAGGGCTATTTCGGTTCTGTGCTTAGGAGTGACCCCTGGCAGTGCTCAGGGAGTCATTTGCAGTTTGGGGGGTTGAACCAAGGTTGGCTACATGGGAGGCAAGTCCCTTACCTTACTCCCTTGAACTACTTCTGTGTTCCCAGAAGCCCTTTTTTTTTTCTTTCTGCTTTTTGGGTCCTACCCGGCGATGCTCAGGGGTTCCTCCTGGCTCTGCACTCAGGAATCACTCCTGGGGGTGCTCGGGGGACCTGTTGGGATCCTGGGAATCGAACCCAGGTGGGCCGCGTGCAAGGCCAACGCCCTCCCTGCTGTCCTATCACTCTGGCCTGACTTGGATTTTTAAAACCCAAACCCAGGCACTGAAAAGCAAGCTGCAAACAGTGACACGTCTGGCCCAAAAGGCACTCCCAGGTCACTTTCCGGTTAAAATCCAAACAATAAAAAAAAAATGAAACGGAACAGAAAATAGAAAACTAGCAGATTGGTGTTGGAATACTGAATGTAATAAATGATTGTGCACAACTTTATAAAAATAAAATTAATAAAAGAAAGATAGATAATCAACTATATCCAGGAAGGGAAAGGTTGGGCCATTTTTGTTTCCGTAGCAAGGGCATAGCTAGGTCAGATTTCTGGGGAGTGGAAGAAAATACACCTCATAATAATGCCTTATGTATATTCTCTCTAACTCTGCTACTAATTCTCCAATTCTCCAATCTTGCTAGGATTATCACTGTAAACAGATTTTTTTTAAAAAATATTTTAATATGTATTTTTTTATTGAATCACTGTGAAATAGACCCTTCCAAAGCTGTTCATGATCGGGTTTCAGTCATACAGTGTCCCAATACCCATCCATCCACCAGGGCACATTTCCCAGCACCAGGGTCCCCAGGTGCCCTCCCATCACCCTCACCCCAGCCTGCCTCTATGGCAGGCATTTTTCTCTCTGTCCTTCTCTCTATTTCTGTCTCTGTCTCTGTCTGTCTCTGTCTCTGTCTCTGTCTCTCTCTCTGGGCACTATGGTTTGCAATACAGATACTGAAAGGTCATCAGGAATATCCCTTTTACTACTTTGAACACTCAAGTCAAACAGATTCTTCTTCAACAAGTGAAATAAATCTGAAACTATTTCACCAGCGAGAGAACTAGAATCAGTGGTAATGTAGATACGAGATTTCCTTAAAAAAAAATAATGACTAAACCACAAAATTGAGTGCCCTGAGTTCTGGCAGAAATTGTTGACAAATCTCTTGTTTCTTCTGCATTAATATCTCTAAAAAACCCATGTGAGACGGCACGGAGATTAGTCCTACAACTAATCTATATTAGGGTATAGAGAGTGTCTCTTCAAAGAGATTAAACTGAAAAGCCCAAACTCAGAGGTCTTACTAAATGTGTAAAAAGTGAATTTAGGGGCTGGAGTGATAGTACAGTGGGTAGGGCATTTGCCTTGCACACGCTGACCAGGGTTTGATCCCCGGCATCCCAGAGGGTCCTCCAAGCACTGCCAGGAGTGATGATTCCTGAGTGCAGAGCCAGGAGTCAGTCCTGGGCATTGCTAGGCTGGAGCGATAGCACAGTGGTAGGGCGTTTGTCTTGCACGCAGCCAACATGGCCGACCTGAGTTCGATTCCTCCGCCCCTCTCGGAGAGCCCGGCAAGCTACCGAGAGTATCTCGCCCGCACGGCAGGGCCTGGCAAGCTCCCCGTGACGTATCCAATATGCCAAACACAGTAACAACAAAGTCTCCAATAGAGACGTTACTGGGCCCGCTCAAGGTTGACCCAAAAACCAAAAAAAAAAAGGTGAATTTAGTATCAGGTTGACCAGGTTAGCCCGGCAAGCTTCCAAGAGTATCTCACCTGCATGGCAAAGCCTGGCAAGCTACCCATGATGTATTCGATAAGCCAAACACAGTAACAACAAGTCTCATGATGGAGACGTTACTGGGCCCGCTCGAGCAAATCGATGAACAACGGGAGGACAGTGACAGTGACAGTGACAGAATTTAGTATCAATATATTTTTTTTTCTGAGCTGTCCAAAACACAAATGTTTAACATTGGCTGCGAAGTTAAAATAGATACCCATTATCTTTCTGTCCCTCTGACCCAAACCCGCCCAGTTAAGACTCTGTGTGATGAGAAAAAATCACTCACCGCTATAATGTCTAACGTATTGTCACAGACCTTCCGGATTTCATTGTTTTTATCATGCATCAGATCTATGAGATATGCTGGAGCCTCTGGAAGAAAATGGTTAAAGGAACCAACTGCAGCTGACATGGAGGGCACTTGTGCATTTCAGGAAATTCCACATTTCTCTCCATCCACATGCTAAGCAGAAATTAGACTGTTTCAAAATAAAACCACTAATACAAGGTGACAAGAGCACTGAATATTTTCTTTGTCTAAATTACAAGGATAACGGTGATAAGAAAAAGAGAGAGAGAGAGAGAGAGAGAAAGAGTGTGTGTGTGTGTGTAAACTAGGGTAAAAATAATAAAATAAATGAAAATAGCTACTAAATCTAAAAAATTACAAGGTCATATTTTACAAAACATGACTATACCTGAAGAGGAAGCTCAATTAATATACGTACGTATCCATATAACATACATATATATATATATTATTGAACTGTATCGCTATATAAACAATGATACTAGCCCTTCCAAATGTTCAAGAAAATTAATTTCACCCTTAAAAATCTCACACGTGGGGCTGGAGCGATAGCACAGCGGGTAGGGCGTTTGCCTTGCATGCAGCCAACCCGGGTTCAATTCCCAGCATCCCATAGGGTCCTCCGAGCACCACCAGGAGTAATTCCTGAGTGCAGAGCCAGGAGTAACCCCTGTGCATTGCCAGGTGTGGACCTCCCCACAAAAAAAGAAAAAAAAACTCACATGTAAAGGACTAACATAAAATACAGAATTTACAAGCTAATATTTCAAAGAGAGATAAGGGAACTTTTTAAAAAAAAAAGAATTAAAAGCACAGATGTCAATCAAAGTTAGAAAACTTAAAGAAATAAAATAATTCAGCAGTGCAAAAGGACTTTGTTTCCGGGGCTGGAGCAATAGCACAGCGGGTAGGGCGTTTGCCTTGCATGCGGCCGACCTGAGTTCGATTCCCAGCATCCCATAGGGTCCCCTGAGCACCGCCAGGGGTAATTCCTGAGTGCAGAGCCAGGAATAACCACTGTGCATTGCCAGGTGTGACCCAAAAAAGCAAAAATAAATAAATAAATAAATAAAGACTTCATTTCAGATACATAAAAACTACATTTAAAGGGGCCAGAGAGTTAGTACAGGAGTTCAGGCACTTGTGTGGCATGAGATGGACCCTGGTTTGGCCACTGGTACCACAGAGGATTCCAAGCACTGTCCGAGAGTGGGGGGTGGGATGGGTCACTTCTGGGCACAAGTAGTTTTGTATAGTACCCAGGAGTACCCCCAGAGAACTACCAGGTGTGACCTCCTAACCTAAAACAAAACCAAATCAAATCTGCCGAAACACAAGAAGGAAACAAAGGCAGATAAAAATCTGGCAAGGACTGGCGAGGCAGCAGCGCGGGGAGGATGCCGGCCTCGCATGCGGGGTCCAGGCTGGGTCCCCAGCACCCCTTAGGGTCCCTCACGCTCCCCCGGGTGACCCCTGAGCCAGGAGTAAGCCCTGAGCACCACTGGGTGTATCTCCTTCCACCCCCGCCAACAACGAGAACTTCTGGTATGGAAGTTTGAGAAGCCGCTTATGAATGACAACCGAGAAGAGAAATAACACTGGTCCCCTCTACTTTCTTTAGATTTCACTCTATGAAATTTATAAAATTTGGGGGGAGGGAGTTGGGATCACACCCAGTGATACTCAGGGCTGAGTCCTGGCTCTGCACTCAGGAATTACTCCTGGCAGTGCTCGGGAGACCCTATGGGATGCTGGGGATCGAACCCAGGTCAGCCGCGTGCAAGGCCAAAGCCCTATCCTCTGTAGTATTGCTCCGATCCCAGAAATTTATAATTAAAAAAATATTATGTGCCAATTTCAGGTTACCTGTTTGAAGAAAAAAAAACCAAACCAATCACCTTGTCCTGTAAATTGATTGGTTTTAAAAATATTTGAAGATTGGTTTTAAAAATATTTTCAAGACAAGCACACAAAGCAAACAAAAGTCCTCTCTCTCTGGAACTTGTGCAGTGCCGTCTGCGTCTTTTGCACCCACGGAAAGGATACGAGTCTCCTTGATGATGACATCTCTCGTGGCCTGGTGGAAAACCATCTGGTAGAAGACATAAATTATCTGGCACACAAATTCATCATCTTCTTGTTGAGCTGAAGGGAAACAGAAAACGTCAAATAAAAGGTTTTTTTTTTGTTGTTGTTTGTTTGTTTTTTGGGAGGGCTGGTCCAGTTTCTCCTCTTCAAATCAAATCCATTTCCCCTCATGGGATTGGAGCTGGAACACTAAAACCCAACTCGGACGGACTTCGTAAGTCATGATGCCTTGGTGCGATTTGGAAAAAGAGAATACTACAGTACGCAGAATCTGGAAAGAACCTGGGTGCCCGGGAACAGATGAGTGGATAAAGAAACGATGGCACACAGGAGGATTACTCCATGGCCTGGAGGCCAGCCGCACACTCCAGGGGAAAAGGCAGCTCAGATAGAGAAGGGAGCACCAAATAAAGGGTGTTGGGAGGATCCTCCCAGGATGGGAGAAGCATGCTGAAAGTAGACGATAGACCGAACAGGATTGCCACTCAATGCCTCTTTTGCAAGCCACAGCACCCAAAAGGAGAGAGAGAACAAAAGGGAATGCCCTGCCACAGAGGCAGGGTGGGATGGGGGGGCTGGGGGGTGGGAGGGATACTGGGATCCGTGGTGGTGGGAAATGGGCACTGGTGGAGGGATGGGTACTGGATCATTGTATAATCGAAACCCAAGCACAAAAATTTGTAAGTCTACAACTGTACCTCATGGTGTTTCACTACTAAAAAATTAAGGAAAAAAAAAGAAAAATGGTACATCTATACCATGGATTACAATGCAGCTGTTAGGAAGAACGAAGTTATAAAATCTGCTTATAAATGGATGGACTTGAAAAGGATCATACTGAGTGAAATGAATCAGAATGAGAGGAAAAGGTATAGAATGACTGTATTCACTTGTGGGATATTAATGTGTATGAGATTATACATAGTCTGAGACTAATATCCAAGGTGAGGATAAACAGGTGCCAAGAGAACTGGTCAGTGGGGAAGCTTGCCCCAAGATCCTGTGTGTGGGCGGTGCAGGGAAGTTAGGATGGAGAAGGGATCAGCATGACAATCACAGTTGGAAGTGATCATCTGGGGCAGGAACTGGGTGTTTGAAAGTAGATGAAGAGATGAATGTGGCAAACTTTTGTTATCTGTATTGCAATCCATAAGACCCAAAAGGAAAGAGAGAGAGAAAGAAGGGAGAGAGAGACAGAGAGACAGAGACACAGAGAGACAGAGAGACTCACAGAGAGACAGAGACAGAGAGAGACAAAGAGACACAGAGAGACAGAGAAAGAGAGACAGAGAGACAGAGACAGAGAGAGAGACACAGAGAGAGACAGAGACAGAGACACAGAGAGACAGAGAGAGACACACAGACAGAGACAGACAAAGAGATACAGAGAGACAGAGACAGAGAGACACACAGAGAGACAGACAGAGAGACAGAGACACACAGAGAGACAGAGAGAGACAGAGACAGAGACAGAGACACACAGAGACAGAGACAAAGAGACACAGAGAGACAGAGACAGAGAGAGATAGAGAGACGCAGAGAAAGAGACAGAGAGACACAGAGACACACAGAGAAAGACAGAGACACAGAGAGAGACAGAGACACACAGAGACAGAGACACACAGAGACAGAGACAAAGAGACACAGAGATATAGAGACAGAGAGAGATAGAGAGACACAGAGAAAGAGACAGAGACACAGAGACACACAGAGAAAGACAGAGACACAGAGAGAGACAGAGACACAGAGAGACACACAGAGACACAGAGACAAAGACACACAGAGAGACAGAGAGACAGAGACACACAGAGACAGAGGCAAAGAGACACAGAGAGACAGAGACAGAGAGAGATAGAGAGACACAGAGAAAGAGACAGAGAGAAACAGAGACACACAGAGAAAGACAGAGACACAGAGAGAGACAGACACAGAGAGACACACACAGAGAGACACAGAAAGAGACATAGAGGCAGGAGGCAAGCACGGGGGAGGAGGGCAAGGAGGGAAACTGAGGACACTGGTGGTAGGAAAAGTACACGGGTGAAGGGATGGGTCCTGGAACTTTGTATGACTGAAATCCAATCGTGAACAGCTTTGTAAACGTGTGGATCACTGTGATTCAATTTAAAAACTTAAAAATAAATAATTTAGAGTAGAAAAAAATACCACATCTGTGTGCGGAGCTGAAAAATATTGAGAGGTGAGCTGGAGCAATAGCACAGTGGGGAGGGCGTTTTGGCCTTGTACACTGCCGAACCGGGTTCGATTCCCAGCATCCCATAGGGTCCCCCGAGCACCGCCAGGAGTGATTCCTGAGTGCATGAACCAGGAGTAACTCCTGTGCATCGCTGGGTGTGACCCATAAACCCCCCCAAAAAATATTGAGAGGAATGATACAGAATAAGCAGAAACAAGAGTGTCAAGGAAACAGGCAATGGACAATCAGTTTAAATTATAATATGTGGGGGGCCTGGAGTGATAGCACAGCGGGGACGGTGTTGGCCTTGCACACGACCGACCCGGGTTTGATTCCCAGCATCCCATATGGTCCCCCGAGCACCGCCAGGAGTAATTCCTGAGTGCAGAGCCAGGAGGAACCCCTGTGCAGAGCCGGGTGTGACCCAAAAAGCAAAAATAAAAATAAAAAAAATAAATTATAATATGTGAGTATATATTTGTGCCTAAGAGTTTACCTCTATGTGACATCATAACGGTCAGTGAGGAAATCTCAAAATATATTTTTTTTGGAGTTTCCACTCATTTGAGTACAGAAACAGGCTATGCTACTTAGAAACACTAAGATGAATATTTTGAAAAAGAGATCGATCTAGCATTTCTGAATTTAAATGGGATTAAATGAGTTTGTTTCAAAGATGAGGATGGCCTTAGGAAGAATCTAGGGCCAAGCTTCTTTTATTTTAATAAAAATTTATTTTTAATTGAATCAGTTATAAAGCTGTTCATGACTGAGTTTCAGTCCTACAGTGTCCAACACCCGTCCCTCCACAAGGGCACAGTTCCCAGCACCAGGGTCCCCAGGGTCCCTCCCATCACCCCCACCCCCTGCCTGCCTCTATGGCAGGAGCGTCTCTCTCTGTCTCTCCTTCTCTCTTTCTCTATCTCTTTGTCTCTGTCTCTCTCTCCTTTTGGGCACTGTGGTTTACACCAAGACTCTTTTTTTAATTTTTTTTTTTTTTGGCTTTTTTGGTCACACCCAGCGATGCTCAGGAGTTCTTCCTGGCTCTGCACTCAGGTGGTGCTCAGAGGACCCTATGGGATGCTGGGAATCAAACCCAGGTCGGCTGCGTGCAAGGCAAACGCCCTACCTGCTGTGCTATTGCTCCAGTCCCCAAGACTCTTTTTAATAGACTTTAATAACACTACTTCTAGGCATCATCACTGTGTCATTGGTAGATGTTTTAAAAATATGACCAAACACACATCCATGTCCCTCACAGTGAGCTGTTAACACCATACACAAGGATGCTTCTGCTAGGAGTCTCCCCTTCCTGTCAAATCCCGCCCCCCACAAAAAAAAAAGTCTCAACCCCAGCATTGCACTGCATAGATCCCGGAGCACTGTGTACCAGGAGCACCCCCTGTGAGCACTGTCAGGTAGGGCCCCAATTAGCAGACAAACAGAATTAACTTCCATGTGACCTTTCTTGATGAGGAGCTGGGAGATTAAGGCGTGGAGCTGGGGGCAACATCTGCATCTGGGGGAAGAGCCAGAGGGGCCAATGCTGAAGAAACTGGGGGGGGAGGGAGGAGTTAACTGCCAAGGCCCATGAGAGCAAGGATCTGCAGGTCTGCTTCTGAACTGCTCTACCGGAATATTCTAGAAGTTGCTGCCACGTGCTCTTTGTCATTCTTAAAGGGGGGCACCATGTGCGGTGGGGGGGGGCAGGCTGAGGGTGGACACACACTCTGACACTGTTGCTCTTTCCCCCAGCCCTGGTGCGATTTGAGCTCAGTCCACCCGCAGTTAAATATTTGCTTCCTTTTTCTGACACAAGCTGCTGGGAGATGACAGATGCAACAAGATAATTTGTTGTGATTATTCTTGACTTTGTCTTAAAATGTAAAGAAAGAAAGAAAGAAAGAAAGAAAGAAAGAAAGAAAGAAAGAAAGAAAGGAAGAACGAACTATATGTTCACCTAAAAATTAAGATACAGGGCTGGAGTGTTAGGACAGCAAGGAGGGTGTTGGCCTTGCACGCGGCCAACCCAGGTTTGATTCCCAGCATCCCACAGGGTCCCCCAAGCACCACCAGGAGTGATCCCTGAGTGCTGAGCCAGGAGTCAGCCCTGAGCACCACCAGGAGTCAGCCCTGAGCCCCGCCAGGAGTGGACCCCACACCCAACCCCAACCAAGACGCGCCGTATTTACCGTTGAGCAGTTCGATGAGTGCGGGGATGATCCCAGACTTGGCCAGCAGGGCGGCGCAGGAGTCGTCCATGGACACGGTCCCGATCATGATCACCACCTCCAGCACCAGGTCATCCTCAGCCGCGCCTGCAGGGGGAACCCACAGCGTGTCCTCCTGACCCGGGCGGCTCCAGGCTCTCGGCCAGGCCAGGGATTCCCGGGCACAGAGGAGCAACGCCAGGCTGTGGCGGCAGTACCCAGGAACCCCGGATCGGGCTTGGGGACAGGGGTCTTGTCCCCATGTTTCCAGATTCATTCAAGACCACCCGTGTCAGGTGGCGGGCAGCAGAGAAGCGGAAGTCTCTGAAGTGACAACAGAGACGGAGACGTGTGTCATCAGGGAGAGCAGGAGACACCACCAGATGGCCCGGAGAACTTTGGGGGGAGACGGGTCATTTTCCAAGAAAGGGGGCCCAGCAGTACCACTCCTGGGAAGATACCCCGGGGGACCCCAAAACACACAGCAGAGAGGCCATCTGCACCCCTATGTTCATTGTAGCACTGTTCACCATAGTCAGAATCTGGAAACAACCCGAGTGCCCGAGAACAGACGGCTGGATAAAGAGACTATGGCATGCCTACACAGTGGAATACTATGCAGCCGTCAGTAAAATGAAGTCATGAAATTTGCACATAAATGGATGGACTTGGAGTGTATCGTGCTGAGAGAAATGAGTCAGAAAGAGAGAGACAGATATAGAATGACTGCATTGATTTGTGGTATATGAAAAAAAAAACATAGTAGAAGACTAATATTCATGGCCAGGGGAAATGGAGGGTAGGAGGACTGGTCAGAGGCTGGAATCAACCACAAGTGTGTGTGGGGCTGAGGGTGGGTCAGAGAGAGAAGGGACCAGGGTGACAATAATAGCTGGGAAGGGTCACGCCGGACAAGAGCTGAGGGTTCAAAGGAGGTAAAGGGATATTCCTGATAACCTCTCAGTAACAATGTTGCAAAACACAATGCCCAAAAGGAGAGAGAGAGGGGGGGGGAGGGGGAGGGAGAATGAGGGAGGGAGGAAGGGGGAGGAGAGAGAGAGAGAGAGAGAGAGGTGTCTACCATAGAGGCAGGCAGGGGGTGGATGGTGGGGGGTGGTGATGGGAGGGCACCTGGGGACCCTGGTGCTGGGAACTGTGCCCTGGTGGAGGGATGGGTGCTGGACACTGTAGGACTGAAACCCGACCATGAACAGCTCTGTATGGGTCTATCTCACAGTGACTCAAGAAAAAAAGTTAAACACACACACACACACACACACACAAAGAGGCATGCATGGCAAGAATTCAAGAGGGGACACAGTGACTGCCCTTTGGGAAACCAGGAGAAAAAGACCCCTGGAGAGGTGGTCCTGGGGGACAGTAGGGCCCCACCTGGCGTTTCCCAACCTCCACCCGAGAGGGCAGAGACTCGGTCATCCCCGAAGAGTGAGCCCCGGGACACACACCTGGTTTGAGTTTATCCTTGAGGTACGGGACCAGCTTGTACTCCTTAAGAACCAACTCCCAGTCCAGGTCGGGGATGGTCAGGTTGGCCAGCGTTCCCAGACACTCGATCACAAACTCTTCCTCTTCATCATTGGAGATCTGGGCGGCCAGGTCCCCAACATAATCCTGGATGGGAAACAAACAAACAAACAAAAGGATTGCAAGATAGAAGCAGAAGAAGAATGTCTAGAGGAGAATCCACTGGTAGCCTTCATTAGGGGGATATCAAGTGGGCATTTCTTGACTGGAATGATGTGAGCTGTCACGGGGGTCTTTGGGGAACTGGCTCAAGGCCAGTTGAGATTGAGTTGAAACTGACTGAGTTGAGATTCCCAGGAGGGAAGCTGAGAGTCACAGTTGGTAACAGAAATGCCACCAGGATGAGGGAACTGTGTGACTGAGTCTCAGGGAGACTTCTATTTCTTTTGTCTTTGGGCCATACCTGGCAGTGCTCAGGGCTGACTCCCGGCTCGGTGCTCAGGGACCACACTGGCGGGGCTTAGAGAACGATACGGGATGCCGGAGATCGAACCTGTGACTGTATGTGAGGCAAACACCGTCCCTGCCGTAATCTCTTTCTGGCCACTGAGAATTGTTTTTTTTGTTGTTGTTGTTCTGTTTTGTTTTGTTTTTTGTTGCTTTTTGGGTCACACCGGGCGATGCTCAGGGGTTCCTCCTGGCTCGACACTCAGGAATCACTCCTGGCAGTGCTCGGGGGACCATATGAGAAGCTGGGAATCGAACCCGGATTGGCTGCGTGCAAGGCCAACGCCCTCTCCACTGTGCTATCGCTCCGGCCCCCGAGAATTCTGTTTCTAAAGGGAGCAATTTAGGGCTTCAACTCTGAGACCGTTTCCGCAGGCTGGAAACCAAGGTGTGTACTCACAATGAATAAATTTTTAGTGGGTCCATCGTGCTGCGAAACGTTCCTGATCATTTTCATCAGCAGCGGGTCCTTGAATTTCAGGGCTCTCTTCATGAGCATCCGGAGCCCATTTCCTGACAGACAGACAGACAGACAATCCCCCCCAGGAAGATTAGGGGTTGCTTATGTTCCATGATGGATTTTTTTTCTTTTTTTGCTTTTGGGGTCACATCTGGCGATGCACAGTGGTTACTCCTGGTTCTGCACTCAGGAATCACTCCTGGCCTGGCGGTGCTCGGGGGACCCTATGGGATGCTGGGGATCGAACCCAGGTCGGCCGCGTTCAAGGCAAACGCCCTCCCCGCTGTGCTAACACTGAGTCCCTCCATGATGTTTTTTGTTGAGTGTTCTCCAAAGAATACATTTCATAGAGGAAAAGCACATACAACTTAAGTGCACACAGTATATTAGCTCTGATAAATGCGTGTCTGCATGGCATTCACACTCAGATCAAGACAGAATATTCCCAGTCATTCGAGAAAGCGACGGTAGCACCTTTCTATCTATCCTATATGCTGGCTGGAATTTATTTTGCAACTCCTTTTTTTTTTCATTTTTTTAAACAAAGATTCACCTTGTTTGTTCTATTTTCTCCATATATAGAATCACTTATACGTGTCCCTTTTGTGTGTCTGGAGTAGGGAGCATTCACTGAAAAATTCTAAGTACTTTTTGTTCCAAAAATCATACTTTTTGGCATTTATCCTTAGAGTATAAAAGTACAAATGTGTGAAGACTGAGAGGAAACTACAGCAATATTGCTTGTTATAATAGAGGAATAGCGACAAATTGGGTAACTGAATTACAAAAACTTCTTTAATAGATTATAATGTAGGTATTAGAATTATGACTTATGAAGGTATCTAATCACTGTAACAAGATTCAAAAACTGTTGTCTTTAAAGAATATGCCCTGGGCTGGAGCAATAGCACAGCGGGGAGGGCATTTGCCTTGCATGCAGCCGATCCGGGTTTGATCCCCGCCAACCTGGGTTCAATTCCCAGCATCCCAGATGGTCCCCCAGCACTGCCAGGAGTTAATTCCTGAATGCAGAGCCAGGAGTCACCTTTGAGCATCGCCGGGTGTGACCCAAAAAGGAAAAAAAAAAAAGAAAAAATAAGAATAGGATTTACACAGCTACTATAATTCATAATCCATTTACTCGCCATCATACACCCCCGATGTCCACATGGTAAAGGGGTCATCTGTGACCCTCTGAGGCACTGACCTTCACAGATGAGCTGCACGTTTCTCTTGTTAGCAGCAAGATTGATGCAGAAGGAAATGAGTTCCAAGTCGATTCGCTCGTCTGAACACTCGAAAAGCATCTTCATAAGCTGGCAAAGAAAGCACAAGGCACATCTTTCGTTAAAACAAAGCCAAACAACCGTGCGGCACAGAAGCCAGACCAACACCCAAGGCCCGCCATCGTCGTCTGAGGGTGTAGCTGGAACTAGCGCACTGGCAGCCTATAGAATGGGAGACTCTCGGCGCGGAGGGGGAGGAAGAAAGTGGCCGAGACTTCCAGCCGCGAGGGAAATGGGTCAGAAAGAGAGGGACAGACATGGAGTAACTGCAGTCATTTCTGAGATCACGATCACGACCATCCTGTTGTTCGTCGATTGCCTCGAGCAGGCACCAGTAACGTCTCCTTCTTCCTAGCCCTGAGATTTTAAAAGAGCCACTGCAATGCTCTTTCAGGGTTAGGAGATATAAAGTATTTCTGAGATAAAAAAGTATATAGGGGCTGGAGCATTACTATAGCGGGGAGAGCGTTTGCCTTGCATGAGGTCAACCTGGGTTCGACAACCAGCATCCCATCAGGTGCCCTGAGCACTGCCAGGAGTAATTCCTGAGTGCAAAGACAGGAGGAACCCCTTCTAATATATGTATTATATATTATATAATATCGAATGTGTTTGGCATGTTGAATACCTCACGGGTAGCTTGCCAGGCTTTGCCGTGCAGGCGAGATACTTTCGGTAGCTTGCCAGGCTCTCCAAGAGGGGCGGAGGAATCGATATATATGTATATATATACATATATATCTACCCAGATCCTCCATATTCCAGTAGGCAGGGGTCACTCCCACCAACTGGCCCCCTGGCACCATGTAATCCCATCAACGGCCAAGACTCAGAGACTATAAAACCCAGCTCCCGGAAGCGCGAATGCGGCCTTGCGACATCTCATTCCTACTTTGGACAAACTGGCAGGCTACCGAATGTAACCTGCCCACACGGCAGAGTCTGGCAAACTCCCCGTGGCGTCCCCAATATGCCAAATACCAGTATCAAGGATGGGCCTCATTCTCCTAACCCTGAAAGAGCCTTGAATATGGCACTTAAAAAAAAAATCTCAGGGCTAGGATGAAGGAGACGTTACTGGGGTCTGCTCGAGGCAATCGACGAACAACAGGATGGTCGTCGTCGTGAATATATATATATATATATATATATATATATATATATATATATTCCATGGCCATAGAAAATGGGTTAGGAGAACTGGTCAGTGGTTGGAATCAACCACAAGTGTGTGGGGGGCGGAGGGTGAGTCAGATAGAGAAGGGACCAGGATGTCAGGAATAGCTGGGAAGGGTCACGCTGGACAAGAACTCAGGGTTAAAAGGAGGTACAGGGATATTCCTGATAAGCTCTCAGTAGCTGTATGCAAACCACAATGCCAAAAAGGAAAGAGAGAGAGAGAGACAGAGTAAGAGAGAGATAGAGACAGAGAGACAGAGAGAAACAGAGACAGAGAGAGGGAGAGAAAGACAGAGAGAGAGAGAGTGAGAGAGAGACAGAGACAGAGAGAGGGAGAGACAGAGGAGAGAGACAGAGAGACAGAGTCAGAGAGACAGAGAGAGAAACAGAGACAGAGAGAGTGGGGGGAGAGAGAGAGAGAGAGAGAGAGAGAGAGAGAGAGAGAGAGAGAGAGAGAGAGAGAGAGAAGCTCCTGCCATAGAGGCAGGCAGGGGGTAGGGGATGGGAGTGATGGGAGGGACCCTGGGGACCCTGGTGCTGGGAAATGTGCCCTGGTGGAGGGATTGGTGTTGAACAGTGTATGACTGAAATCCAATCAAGAACAGCTTTATAAGGGTCTATCTCACAGCGATTCAATAAAAAAAAGTTTGAAAAAAAATGAGCATTAAGAATAGGCATTTAAAAATAAGCAAAAACTAAATAAATAAAAAGATTACCAGCTGCCCTACATTAAAGACAAATTTCCAAGGGCAGAGAGAACAGGAGAGAAATTTCGAGAGAGAGGCTTGGGTGAGAAAGCACCATCTCTCCTGAAGAACTGAAACGGCTTGAGTGAGGAAAAAGAAACTGTGTCAAGAGGAAAAGGAGGTAATAGTAAGATCAGGCCAGAAACTCCACAGGACGGATGAGGCGAGGCCACTCCAGGCTTCCGAACCAGGCCTGTATTGGGGTGAGATTTGTGTTTCTGGAAGATCTGGCCGGGGAGTAGAGCCACGGACGTTGGGGGGAAGGAGAATTTGGGGAAAGCGATTCTAGGAGAGAGAAAAATTCAGCAGAAATGATGAGCGCGTGGGAAGGCAGGGCGGTGGGCACGGAGCTGGAAGGATGGGCTGGAGATGTATTTGGGGAAGAAAGAAAACTCGGACAACTGGTCAGATAATGTGGTTAAGGCAGCAGAGGCAACACTAGCTCCAAGTTCCCCCCATGGATACGGAGAGTGGCACCAGTATTAAAAAAAAAAGTGTGTGTGTGTGTGTGTGTGTGTGTGTTGGGGGAGGTTGGGCCTGTCCCTGCCTCTCTCTGTCTCTGTCTCTCTGTTAGGCTGTGTAGTATCACTGTATCACTGTCATCCTGCCGAACGTTGAATTACTCGAGCGGGCGCCAGTAACGTCTCTATTCCTCCCAGTCCTGAGATTTTAGCAGCCTTTTCTTACTCGTCTTTTCCCAACGATTGGGGGCTCTTTCAGGGTCAGGGGAATGAGACCTGTTGTCATTACTGTATTTGGTATATGAAATACGCCATGGGGAGCTTGTCAGGCGGGCGGGATACTCTCGGTAGCTTGCCAGGCCCTCCGAGAGGCATAAAGGGTAGGAAGTATCTTACAATGAATGTGTCGCGAGGCCGCTTTGCTATGTAGTAAGAGAGAGCAATCTGGGGTTTAAACGTTCGGAATTCCAGCTGCCTGGATAACAGTCTGGAATCGATAATCCATCGAAACTATGGCTGAAGGCCTGAATATATGAGAAATTATCCAACTTTAGAGACCGTCATGAGATAGATCCAGTATTTGGCTTTAAAGTGAGGGAAAAACAAAAAACAAAAAACAAAAAAAAAACCTTCCAGTGTTACGAGAGGGAAAAAACATCTAAGGAAAGGCAGGAAAAAATGAGCAGCGACCTAGATTTGATGTGGAGATTAAATTGATTGCTCCATTAAAGAAGAAATAGTATGCTGTAACTCGGAGAAGCCCACCTATTAAAGATTTTTTTCAAACTCTGAAACTTAAACAATTTCAGTTAATTTAATTTGGTCTTTGGGCCTCACTGGGTGGTATGCAGGGCTTACTCCTGGCTCTGTGCTCAGGGATCACTCTTGGTGGTGCTCGGGGGCCCATATGGGATGTTGGGGTTTGGTCACATGCAAGACCTACACCCTGTCTGATGTATTATTTTTCTTGCCGGAGAGCCCGGCAAGCTACTGAAGAGTATTCGATATGCCAAACACAGTAACAACAAAGTCTCCAATGGAGACGTTACTGGGCCCAATCGAGCAAATCAACGATCAACGGGAGGGCCTTTACCTTTACCTTTACCTTTTTACCCTGACACACTTTTTAATAATTAAAAAAAAAAAAGGTCACACCAAAGCAATGCTTTGGAAGGCAAAATATTACTATTACTATTTTACTATTTATTATATTTACAAAATATTACTATTTTACTATTTACTGTTTTACTATTACTATTTACTTGCGATTAACCTGTATAGTATAAAAATTGACTGAAAATATATTTATAGGTGATTTGTCTAAAAGCCTCTGAGAGCTTTGCTGTAACTCGCTTCTATGCTAAATAATCAGGGGCTATATTTTGCAAAGAACTAATGCACAGTTTGAAATCTCCAACCTCCACGCTCCAAATTCAAGAGAAACTCAGACTCAACGTGAATGAAAGGCAGCGTGGCCTAGGATTCGTTTTGCTATCCCAAGAAAGAGCAAACGCTCCCATTTTCGTGAAAGCCTTCACTCCGACTTTCAAAAAATTCAGAATTTCACGCAGGGTCCACCCTCCACGTCACGTCTTTAAATTTGATTGCGACCCGGGGCCCTTCCAAAGTGAGTGTAATTGCCGACAGCTCGGAAATATTAAAACTCGATTTGTTCTGTTTTTTAACGACGTCCGTTGTCATCTTTTACTAATTTGACAGGAAGGTACTGGAAAAAAAAAAAAAAAGGCGGGGAGGTTTCAGCCCGCTCGGGGAAGAGGCGAGGGCGTTTAATCAGACGAGTCCCATACTGAGTATCAGATACCAAAGACGCGGGGCTGAAATCACCGTGTCTAGACACACTGGCACCTGTCTTCACTTACTTCCCAGTGACCAGAGAACCAACCCCCACCGCTTCCCGCCTGTGTACACCTCTTGCGCCCCCCGGCACACATCCCCCCTCTTTCCCCAAACATCTTTGAATGATTATTGCAGGAACTGTGCGGACTGCAGGAATCTCTCCTGGCTACTCCCTGGCCGCTGTTTGAAGTGACGCTCTGGTTTCTAAACTTCAGCAGGTCCGTGGCAGCAAGGGGCAAAGGCGGCTGTCAGGAAGGACGTTTACCAGCGCCGGGCTCGGAGAAGCGTGCAGATCAAAGGGAGGCCAGACAGGACAACCGCGGCGGCCAAGCATCTGCAGTGCCAGGGAGATTCTCGAGCAGTGCTCTTGGGGTGAAATATTAAATAACACCATGACATCACTGCCCAGACATGCGCTTGGATTGGCCATCCCATCGCCAATAAAGGCCTTTTATAAGCATCTGGAGGGCATTTGCACCTATTTAAACAAAACATGCATCTTACGGGGCTAAATAACAATGAACTGTTAATGTGTACGCTTAACTATTATTAGAACGCAATCATTAACTCCTGGTTATCCTCTGCAACGTTCACCCACGGAGACCATTAAGGTCAGATCTAACGAAAGACTTGCCTCGCTCCAGAATTCTGCAGAACAATGACATAACGGGGAAAAACCGAGTGCAAGGGCCAATTAGGGCCAAATAAAGTACAAAAGAAACAAAGCAGTTTAATATTAGGAGATATTGTGAGCCATATGTTACTGGGTGGACATACAATGACCCAC